GAGGAATTATGATACTCGGTAAATTCGATATGAGGCACGAATTCTATTTAAGGGTTGTAATTAGGAAAGAAGAAGAAAAGCTATAGAGGTAGCATATGGAAGAAAACATGGGAGGATTGATTATTTCTTTGACATATCTTCTTATAGAGTATCTTAAGCATGTATAGGTTTTAAACTACTAACTAACTTGCGCACACATATTAACATAATAGGAATACGGTGACATAAACTAAGCAAATCAATAATTACCAGCCACAAGGATGCTGATTTTAAACAGCAAAAGCCTAGAAGTTACTAAAGGCTCACTGGTGGGAGATGTGGGGAGGGACAAAATAAACTATGATGTGTCTACATTGGGACTTACTCTGCAGCACTTAGAAAAATTGGTAGTGCTGTTCATGCTAACATGAAAAGATAGGAAGATTTCTTTTTGAGTGAAATAAGTAATAAGGACACTTAGAATATTCTGTTGTTGTGTAAAAATACACCCAACACATTCAAAACAATACAGTTTTAGGAGTGCCTTAGTATATGTGCAAATGTATAAATGAAGGTTTTGGAAGAGCTCATGCAGGTGATGTGAGTGATTCCTTCTGGAGAGAAGAGTAGGACAAGGGAGTGGCATGGGGTCTTTGCCCTTATCTGTAATAGTTAAAACTACATTAACTACAACTAATTGATAAGTAACATAAACATATAACACTGGCAGTGGGTGTCTCAGCCAGGTGCCTCTGAAAGGACACCATTCCTAGAGCTCACTAGTCATGGAATTTCCTTGCCAAGAGCAGCCAGCCCATCAGAAGGAACATGTGTCTGGAACATGTATCTGCTTCCTTAAGAACTGGGGGCTGAAAGAACCCAGCTGACCTGGAAGTGAAGCCAGGCTAGTATATGTCAAGTTAGAGAAAGCTAGATAGGGGGATCATGGGAAGATGGCGGCATAAGTAGTTCAGTGGAAATCTCCTCCCAAAAACATATATATTTATGAAAATATAATAAATACAACTATTCTTAAAAGAGACACCAGTGGATACAGTACAACAGCCGGGATACATCTACATCTGCGAGAACTTAACATCACACGAAGGGGGTAAGATACAAGCCGTGGCCAGGCGGGACCTGAACGCTCCCCCACCCCGGAATCCGGCGGGAAGAAAGGAGTCGGAATGGGGAGGAGTGAAAGCCCAGGACTGCTAAACAACCAGCTCTAGAAATCCACACCTGGAGCGCAGACACAAGGTGCACGGGGTGCTGGATATTAGAGAAACGGAAAAGCAAAACCTGTGGGCAGGTCCCCGCAACCGGCACCCCTGAGACAAAACGGTTACTTTCTGCAAGTCTTAAAGAGACAGGGACCCCATAGCTAGATGAAGTTGTCCCGGCACACTTAGCCAGCAGCTGGGAATCCCAGGGAACCTTAGGCACCCTAAACCCCGGGGAGCAGCTCTGAAGCCCCTCATGGCACTAAGCAGCCTGCCAGTCATTCCCTGAACTGGCGCAGACCCTGACACACCGGACCAGTAGTGGGAGAGTGGCAATGCGCACCGGGGGTGGCGGTGCTGGAGGGGACTGGGAGCCGCTCATGCGAACCCGCCGCAGCGGCAACCAAGCAGCCTGGGTGCGGCCCACGTGTGCCAGCAGCGGCGGTGCCAGAGGGGCACGGGAGAGGCCCGTGCGCACCTGCAGCAGTGCCAGAGGGAGCAGCCGCTCTCCCAGCAGCCGACTGGAATCCCAGCCTGATGCACAGCCGCCCGGGCCAGACCCAAAGGCCACTGCTGGCACACAGCTATCCCGGCAGGGGCGCCGCTACCACGGAGGAGCACACCTGGCAGTGCCTGCCACTCCCCACAGGGCTCTGCGCTGCTCTGATGGAGACCCCGCCCACAGCAGCTTAGGGGACTAACCCGGTGGCTGCTCCAGGAGTGCGGGTAACTGTCACAGGCAGTGGAGAAGGGCAAGGCATCCAGCAAGCAGGAAAGGACTTACATCTCCCAGCTGACACACCTGCAACCTGCCTACAGTCACCGCTATCACCATGAAAAGGCAAAAAAATTTAGTCCAGTCCAAAATAGTTCAGACAACCCCTGAGAGAGGATCTGCAGAGACAGACCTAACCAGTCTCCCTGAAAAAGAATTCAAAATAAAAATCATAAATATGCTGACAAAGCTGTAGAGAAAGCTAGATAATCAAGTTGCATTACACTTACATTTTCCAAGGTAGACTAGAGATTGTGCCTTTTTAAAGCCTGTCTGAATATATAGTATTCATACATCTCACTATAGAAAGTGAATCTTGAGTTCCATGATAATATTAATATAGCTGACCCTTTAATAAGAGCATTGGGGTTTACGGACACTGACCCCCCGCCCCATGCATAACTTTTCACTGTCCAAAAACTTAAACGAATGCCCTAGTGTTGACCAGAAGCCTTACTGATAACATAAGCAGTCGGTTGACGTGTTTTGTATGTTACATACATATGCTGTATTCTTACAATAAAGGAAGCAAGAGAAAAGGAAATGTTTTTTCTTGCTGTTGCACATCTCCAAAAAATCTTCCAATGTGTATTGAAAAAAAATCCATGCTTAAGTGGATTCATGCAGTTCAAAGCTGTGTTGTTCTAAGAGTCACCTGTAATCGAAAGTGATACCATTTGTTGAGTGTTTATCAGGGACTTGTGAGTGTTCTAAGCTGATTATATGTTTATTATTTAACTCACTGATTTCACAACCACCCGATGAAGTGGGTTGTGCTATTTCCCCACTTTATAGATGAGGAAGCTGAGTCAGAGCAGGTGTGTAATGCCAGGCCACTTGCCTTCTAATAAATGACAGATTGAGGATTTGAACCGAGTCCAGTTCCAGAACTCATGCGCTTCCCACAGCGCTTTCTGCTTCCTGTGGTCTGAAGGATAAAGCTGAGCACAAGCATACCCTTTGATGGAAATTGTCTCTTTGTTACTGAACGCGTATGTGGCCTGGATGATAGAAGCCAGGGAAGGGAGGGCAGCCTGGGCTTCCGATCTAGCTGGACTCCTCCCACCTCCTTTGCAAAGGCGGGTCTTCACTAGGAGACAGGAATGATCCCAAGGCCTGAAAGAGCTCAGTGTCCTTGAATCAAGGAAAAGCAAAGGCTTATTTTCTGCCCTTGGAGGCTATGCACATACTGCCCAAAGACTCCAGGAAAGAGGGTGGCTGCTATTAAGGTCACAGGCCCTAAAGAAAGTAATTTTGCCTGGAACAGCCATTTCCAGCCCTCTGTGTCTCAGAGTCCCCTGGGAAGCTTTTAAAAGATGCCTGGACTTTTGTTTTCCCAGAAATTCAGATTTAATTGGTCTGGGCTCTTTGTTTCAAAGCCCGCAAGGCTATTGGACTGATAACCCTTGACCTCTGATAAAGGTGAATCTCACCAAAGTGCTTCAGTAACCCTAAAGGGTTGCACTTCCAGCAAATGCGGCAGGATACAGCCAGGTCTGCCAGGGCGGGGCAGCTGGGAGTCGGAGGTGGACCCTGGGGGCATAGGAGCAGCAGTCAGGGATGCCCAGGACAGTGCACGGTGGCCTGAACTGAAAGAGGACATGTCCTTACAAGCCACATCAATTAATGCTGCCCTGCTCCAGTCATGCAGAACAGAGGTACAGAGAAGCCCAGAGGCCGAGCTGCCTGAGAGGACGCAGGAAGAACTGAGCCTCCAGCCGGCCCTAGGACACTTTCCTTGGGCAGAATTGCCTCATCTTCTCACTGGCCGGTTCCTCTGTGGTGCCTGTTCCCCAAAACCTTTGCCCAGTGGGCTTTGAGCCACAGTTTAAACATAACCTCAGGCCTCCTTGACCACCCAATGTTTAGCAGCCAGCAGTCTTGGCCTCTCCTCTTCCCTGTGTTCATTCTCCAGTGGATCATGGCTGTGTTTGTGCAGCTGATAGATTGTTAGCTTGGAGAGAGCAAGGGCCTCCTCTGATTGCTCCGGCTCTCCGGCCCTTAGGGCGATCCCTGACACACAGGAGGCCCTCAGTACTGTTTGCTGACTTTATTGGATGAGAGGTCTTGGCAGCATCTTCCCTTTAGCCTTAGGAGGGGTTGAGGGGTAGAAAAGGGAGTGGGGCTTGGTGCCATAGGAGACGCTCGTGGCTGGTGGAGGACAGAAAGGTGGCGGCAGTAATGGCTAACATTGATGGAGAGCTTTCCGTGAACCAGACGCTCTGTTGAGGCCTTTGTACAGAATCTGCTTTAAACAGCTCATCCTGACTCCACAAAGGGAAGGACTTCTATTTAACCCATTTTACGGACAAGGAAAATGAGATACATTGAGACTCAGTAACTGGCACATCACAGACAGGATGGCACTGGGTCTTCTCGGCCTTCCTACACAAAACCCTCTGTCTAGCCTTTGGTCACACAACCACTTAACCGTTAACCTTTCCATTTCTAAATGGCATGTTTGGTTACTCAGTTTCCTAGTCAGAGTTTGTTTTGGAGAATGCTTACCTCTTCCTCAAGGCTGAACTGAGAGCAAAGAGTGCTCTTCTCGCGTGGTCAGGGCCTGGGGGCAGAGCCTTTAGGTGCTCAGCGATGAAGTGTGTCAGTGAGGGCCAGCACCCCACCCTGGGCCCTCACCCCACAGGGGTTCTCTTTTCAGTCTTCCTGCAGAAAAGGTTCTTTGACCAAAAAGCCTTCCTAGATGTAAGCCTTGATGTAGGTTTTCATGAAAAGCATATGAAAAACATAGGCCTATAAGCAATTTCTTTTCATTCTCAGAGGGCTTATAAATAAACCCTTAGAGCAAATATTTTTTAGAGTGGAGAATCCTTTGGTTCGTGGAAATTCTCCATCCCTGCATTATGTCTTGAAAGGTTAGATTTCCTTTTGTCTATATAGGTGTCTGTCCTCCTGCCCCCACTGGCTGCCCTGGCATCCATGTCACCTGGAACATGGGACATGTGCAGAGGAAGTTGTGTTAAACTAGCACAGGCCAGGACAGAAAGGGGGAAATAATAAAGAAACATTTGAATAATAACAGCTTGCTGATGTGTCCTGTCCCAGCAGTCGGCGTCTTGTTCTCAATTACTGCAGTAACTGATTAATATGACTGCCAGTGAGACTTCTTTGATTCATGCCTACCCAGTGGCTTTTCCTATTCATTTCCCAGTATCCAGGAGCAAGACAAGAGGCTTCAGGCTCTGTGGAATGCTTGTGAAAAGTTGCCAAAGGCCAATCACAGCAACATCCGGTAAGTGGATCCTAGAGGCACATGGGGCAGGGTTATTTAAGCCCAGACAGAATTTCCTGGCTCATGGTCTTGGTAACTAGTATGCATGGCATTTTGTCCTGTCCAAAGCACTGTTAATGATCCACAGTCTCTTTGCAACCTCAGACAGCCCTGAGAAGTTGTCAATTATGTTTTTCAGATGAGGAAACAGACTAAAAGAGGCTACATGGCTTTGGAGGCCTTTGGCTAATTCACTTACATTCTTGATTTGCAGGGAGCAAAGATTAATGCAAACTGTTTTAAGACATTGGGAGTTTATTGTAAAGATAGGTGTTCCTGGACACCTGGGAGATGGGCACCAAGCCAGAAGCTGGAGTTGGCAGCATTGTCTGTGAGCTAGTCTGCAGGAGGAAGAGGCAGGGAGAATTTCTGTATGCTACCATTCGCCAGCTGTTGCCCATGCCTGCTTCTCACTGTCTTGCTGCCTCTTGGATCTTACTTTCTGCTGCTCTGAAGACCTTTCCTCTCCCTAGGCTCTGCTCCTTCACACTTTCTGCTCTGTTACCACTTTGCTTGCCAGCCCTGCTCCCGGCCCTGCCGCCGCTCCTCTGTGCTTCTTGAGAGGCAGCAGATTTTCAGCTTTGGCTCCTGCAACCATCTGCCTGATTATTTTTGTTTTCTTGTTAAAATCCCAAGAATGATGGTATGGCAGATCTTCAGAAAATTGAACACAGAATCACCATATGATCCAGCAATTCCACCTCTGTGTCTATATGTGCCTGAAAGATTTGCAAGCAGGGACACGATGCTTATATGCTAATGTTCATAGCAGCATTGTCATTAATAGCCATGAAGAGGGAAGAGCCCAAACATCCCTCAATGAATAAATAAATAAGCAAAATGTACATATAATGCATTATTCATTAGGTGCATATACATGTATTCATAAAGTTGTGCCATTGTCACCTCTGTCTAATTTTAGAACATTTTAACCACCCCAGAAATAAACCCTGTTCCCATTAGCATCACTCTCCTAACCCCTTGGCAAACACTTTTCTGCTTTGTGTCTGTCTCCATAGATTTGCCTCTGTGGACATTTCATCTAGGTGGAGTCATACAATATGCAGGCTTTTATGTTTGGCTTCTGTAATGTTTTTAAGGTTCATCCATGTGGTAGCATGTGTCCAGACCCCATTCCTTTTTGTGGCTGAATAGTATTCCATTGTGTGGCTGTGCTGATTTTATTTATCCGTTCATCCCTTGATGGGCATTTGGGTGGTTTCCTCTTTTTGGCTATGATGAATAAGGCTGCTGAGGACATTTGTGTGCAAATCTGTGCTGGTCTGTGTTTCTCTTTTCCTTCACTGGCTCTCAAAGCCATTCTGAGGTTAATCCCAGGGGACACCACCCCAGCACATGGATGTCCCTGCCGATGACACTTAGACATGCTGCTTCTCATATCTGCACACAGGGAGGATGGCAGGTGACATCCTGAGAAGGAGGAGGAACTTCAGATCATTATGTACTGAGTCAAAGGAAAGATGGAGAATGTCTCTGGCCAGGGTTAATTAAAGCAGATGCTGACATCTAGCCAAGTGAGATCGGGGTCTGTTCAATTGAGCATTTTCGTGTCCTGACGCATGAGACATCTTCGTTATAGTTCAGGATATACGAGTCTCATTGTCAGATGTGCTACCTGAGAAAAGCCCCTAACCTCTGCCTGCAGAGCCCGCCTGGTGTTTACCCCTAGTTGAACTTGATCATTCTCCCTTTCAGATACTTGATCAAATTCTTATCCAAGCTGTCAGAATATCAAGATGTCAACAAGATGACTCCCAGTAACATGGCAATTGTGTTAGGGCCCAATCTCCTGTGGCCGCAGGCTGAAGGGTGAGTACCCGATGGGCGGGCACGGGACTGTGGGGCAAGGGGCTGGGGCCTCCGGCCATCACCAGCCTCCTAAATTTGTCAAGTCACATTTCTGTCTCAGCCTGCTCCTTTTTTAGGCTCATGAGAAGGCCCAGAATTCTGCAGGTCTTCCTGTTGATAGTCTCAGAGCTGCTGCAGGCCCACAGTGAGGGTCTCTGAGCCAGTCTAAGCGCCAGGCAAAGCAGGCACTTTCAGGCCCCGAACACGCAGTGAGGAGTGCACGTGCCAGTCTCTGGGTCCAGGGGGATAGCAGGTCGTCTCAACAGAGAGGGCAGAGCTGCGAAGAGGAAGAGTCTGGCGATTATGAGGCCCAAACCTCCCAACGACACGGGCTGCCTAATTGGCGATGTCACGTGTTACTCATTTACATGCCTCCTGTAGAGGGACTTCTGGGGTCAGCTCTGTTCTGTAGGTGGGGAGGAGAGGTTCTGAAGGGTGAAGGGTCTTTCCCGAGGAGAAGCCTTGGGATTCTCAGCTTCAGGTCTGCAGGCTTCCAGTGCAGGCCTCTTCCTGGGGGTCCCTCTCTTCCTGCCTCAGCCGCTAACCCCACTCTGTTCCCCTCTGCTCTGTGTTCACAGGAACATCACAGAGATGATGACCACGGTTTCTCTGCAGATTGTCGGGATCATCGAGCCCATCATCCAGCATGCAGACTGGTTCTTCCCGGGGGGTACGTGGTGGCATCCAGGTTGGGGAGCGGGCCTGGGGAGGGGCAGGGGAGTCACTGTGAGCTGTGAGACTTGAAACCACTTGCTTCTGGCCAAAGGTGGTGTTTGTTTTTAATCCTTTTACACACACACACCAACACATCACACATGTATGGCGTACAGTCATGACAGTTTCTTATGCTTAACTCCTTTCTGAGAGAGGTTCCGGCCTGCAGGAGTCCACTGCCCATACTAACCATGTCTGTGGATTTCACTGGTCTGCCATCTGCACTACGGTTTCTTTAAATCCATGAATCATGAAATGCTGGAGCAAAAAGGAGAGCAAGACCCTCTGTTTTATAGATGGAGAGAGTAGCCAAGACCCGAGATGAAAATGAGCTTCCATTCAGGGCTTAGAGACCTCTTGGTGCCATCCTCCTATTACTGTAGCTGTGTCCTTTGAGTTGCCCTCAGTATGTAAAGATGGGGCTCCAAGGCCATGGGATTTCTTTTTGTACCTGGTTCAAATTCAGCTCCCTGAAATGGAGTTTCACATGTGTTCTTTGCCGTTGAAGCACCGTTGTATAAGGATATGACTCTCAATGGTAACAACATGGAAGAGATGGCAGTTTTCCCAGTAAATTCAGTATTTGCTTTTTTTCTCTTTTGTACTGTACCTTACGTTTAGTATACATTAAGGGTATGCTTTCAACTGTATGACAGCAAACTGTTAACTCATGTGAGGATCATATGTTAATAAGTTTGTGCTCTACCCATCAGAGATAATCAATCAGGCCTGATCTAACACTGAAGAAGTTTATCTTTATTTTGTTTCATGTGTTTTGATTCTGAAAGCTCGTTAACTGTAATCTCATGTGAGTTCTAGTGATAACATAAAGTTGGGTGAGAGTAGAAAATCAGGATAAGGAAGTACAGGAGACAAGAATTGAAAGCATAATTCTGTATGCTCTGTTGATGAGCTAATTCATTACCACCTCAGATAAACAAGCTATGGATAGCCAACCACCTAAGTAACCTTTGTGAAATCTCTAGTTCTCATCCTTTTTAATGTTTCTTTGGGTTTTCGAGAAAGACACCATCATCTACAAATAATTATTTTATTTTCTTGACTAATTCCATTGGCTAGCACTTCTCCAATAGTGTCACATAACAGTGGTGAAAGTGGGCATTGCTCTTTTTCCTAATTTGATTAGGATTGCTCTGGTGTTTTACTCTTAACCATGGGGTTTCAGATAGATGATTTTATCTTTTTCAGAAAGTACCCATCTGTTCCTGTTTAGCTAAATTTGGTTTTTAATCACAAATGGAAATTTCTCTGTTAGAGGCCCATCATATTTATATGCTAGGCGAGCACATGTATTCACTCATTAATATGATGAATTACTTTAGATGAATTAATATGAGTAGATGACCTGAAGTTGAACCATGGGACAAAATTTTCTAGAGGTGATGCATAAAAGAGAGGCCATCTCTGCTCATCTCTCTCCTGCCTGGCGTGTGACAGACAAAGCATCATGGACACCCGCTCTTTCTTCCCCACAGAGATAGAGTTCAACATCACAGGGAATTATGGGAGTCCAATCCACGTGAACCACAATGCCAACTACAGCTCAATGCCCTCCCCAGACATGGACCCCGCTGACCGGCGACAGCCCGAGCAGGCCCGCCGGCCCCTCAGTGTTGCCACGGATAATATGATGCTGGAGTTTTACAAAAAGGATGGGTATGAACCACTGACCCTTTCTCAGCCTTGGGGAGTGGAGGAGGGAGGGGTAGGGTGGTGACAAAATACCAGCTTGACTGGAAGGCTGCACTTAATAGCCAAAGGGTTTGGGTGCTTTGTAGGAATTACATTGTTACCTCCTTCCTGCGTCTTTCCACCTCTGCTCTTTGGAATGAGTCTTGATTTGCTTCCCTCCCTTTGGGGCAGAGATAATAAGCGCAGCCTTATGGGCTGACAGTTGTGATCAGTATTGACTAGTTCTCATCAACAAGGAAAATTAAAATAAAGATACGTAATGGTTTGACTCAACATTTATAAATATATGTCAATTCTCAAATCTTTCATGGTTTTACTTTGATGATGGTCTGCTCATTTGTATTCTTAAGCAACATTCTTGCATACACATTGCCTTAAATACATAGTTTAGCATGCCCCAGTTTCAGTCTCTGAAACAAAGAGAAAACCTAAAACTTGAAGCAATCTGAGTGTAAAAATCCTCGTAAGTTTTAAGGTTGTTTTCCTGTCTTTTATGACTGACACCTACACCTATTTGATACAGCTGTCAGGAGCCTCACAACTGCATTCAACTTAATTTGCATAGTAACAACCCTGAGAACAGTCATTTTTAATCAGTTCTTATTGCATAATGTCATTCCCAAAACAAGCAGAATGGGCAGAAGCAGGTTTCACAAGCACAGCTGATTCTTGGTAAGCATCAGCTCAGCTCTTGCAACCAAAATATGTGGACTTAAGGGAACATTCAGTAAGCCGGAGACATCAGCTAACGTGTCATACAGGAAAGGATCGTGTTGCTTGGTCAAGCAAGTCAGCGGAGTGAACTTTGGCTAGGAAATCTAGCAACTGCTCCTTCAGAATAGGAGCATACAGCACTGAATGGGAATATCAAAAGCATAGCAGCCACAGCCCTCTGCTTCCCTGACAGATCCTTAGGCAGCCAGAAAGATCTGACTGTGTGAAGGGCATTGTGCCTCAAGGGCTTCAGAGGCAAGACTGCCAACCAACAACCATAGAGGTGGATGGGTCTTCTTCTCACCCCTCCTGTGGACTCAGCGGGAGATGGCATCAGAGACCCAGACCCAGCCCTGTGATAGGGAGCAGTGTTCAGAAGGGCCAGGATTCCAGCCTGTTGGCTTGCCCACCCTCAGAGATACTTTATGTGCGAGGCCAGTCAGGGTTGCTTCTCTGCTCTGTGCTGTTGTTTATGCTCTAGTGGGGAAAGAAAAACTGGAAATCACAGAAGTTAAAGGGACTGGGGCAGAGTCCTTAGGGAACATACACAGAATCTGATCTTCGCATCGTGAGAGACAAAGGTGCAGAAAGAGGACACAGAGAGAAAGAGAATGTGTGCTAGTGAGTACATGGATTTTGTTTTTAAATCTCAGTTTAAGCAACTCACTCCTTTATTAAGTATCTCTAGCTGAGGGGCTACCCTGGAAAATTCTGGTGCCGGCCAGATCAAAGAACTCCTTCAGTCTGGGTGTTTGCATCAGAGGTGCACCTCTCCATCCTCCCTGCCAGACCTCATTGTATTCCCAGTACCCACTGAGAAGTAATCAGATGACCTCTCAGAGTGACCTCTAGGAAATCTATATGATCTCTTAGGTGACCTCTAAGAGACAGGTAGCACTGGGGAATCTTGGGACATTCAAAATCCACTGGCCCCCATGGTACCCAGGCAGATGCTGAAGCCTGAATGATATTTTAAGCCCATGCTTCATCTCCAATTAAGTTTTTTTACTTAAGGACTTCGTAAATGATATGCCCAAGCTGCATGTTATTCTGATTTAAAGCTGAAACCACCACCACACACCTTAAGGCTCTAGGAGAGGTGCTACATAAATTACTAATGCCCACAAAACAAATATGTTACGTATTTTCCTTTGTATTAAACATTAAAGTAAGTGGAGGCCTTCCTGGTTTAGGGTGAGCCTGGCTGAGCTGTCCAGGGTGTCAGCACATGTGTTCTAAGGTACAGTGAATTTGTAGAAGATCAATTCTTAACTGGCTTTGAGAGACCCAGATACCTAAAGCTGTGAGTAAGTGCTCTGGGGGAGAGGAAAGGAATTGGTACTGGTATAGTTATTTTAACTATATTAAGAGAATTTTCCACATTTGTTCCCATTTCTGAGCTTTTACAGCCTGTAGGCTATCCCTTAAAACATTGACAGATTAAGTTCATTTTATTGAAGTGTTTCAGTCAGGTTACAAAAGAAAATAATTAGTTATATGTCAATAAAGCTGTTACTCTAAAAAAAGAAAAATTGGGTAACATTTGAAAGAAATGATAAGTTCCCATCAGTGCCAGTGACATTTTCCTGGGTAATGGCTGTGATGTCCTTCATACAAGGTCATTTCCTCCCATCCCAGCTCCTGTTCTTGGTCCTGATGCCTTTCTGATTTATGATGACACAGGAAACTGAATTTGTTTAGCAAGTGCTGGAGTCAGATTTAGGAGCTCACATACACCCTTTTCATGATCGTGTTAGGCAGAATAATGGCCCCCAAATATATCAGGCCCTAAACCCTGGAACCTGTAAATAGTGCCTTATTTGAGCAAAGGGTCTTTGCAGATTTGGTTAAAATAAGGATCTTGAAATAAGGAGATTATTCTGGATTATTAGGGTGGTCCCTCAGTGCAATTGCTTGTATCATAAGAGGGTAGCAGAGGGAGATTTGACATAAACATGGGGAAGGAGAGCAGCTGGAGCAGAGAGAGATTTGAAAGTGTTCACAAGGCAAGAAATGCCAACAGCCACTAAAGCTGGAAGAGGCAAGGAGCAGACTCTGCCCTAGAATCTCTAGTAGCTGCACAGCTCTGCTGACCCCTTGATTTCTGCCCAGTGATACTTTGTTTGCACTTCTGACCTCCAGAACTGTGGGAGAACGCATTTCTGTCGTTGACCAGCTTTTTGCCACGGGGAACTCATGCATTTCTTCACTGCAGTGACACTGTAAGAGCTCTTTAGGGAAGATGGTGGCAGGGGCTTTGAGTCTGCTCCCGCTGGGGTCACCATCTAACTGTCCTCCCTTTGACCCTGTGTTGGCTCAGCAACTTAGCAGAATGTGGCAGAAGTGATATTCTGGGCCTTCCGAAGCTAGGTCACAGAAAGCCTTGTCAGTTATGCCCGGGTCTCTTGGAACCCAGCTACCGTGATGTGTGGGGATCCGGGCAGCCCCTCAGAGAGAAGGTGAAGACCCCCAGCCTTCATGCCCTTCTGAGCACTCAGCTGACAGCCAACCTCACCTCTCCAGCTCTGCGAGTTAGTCCTTTGGAGTCTCCCAGGCCCACTCACCTCAGCTAGCGCTGCGTAGACTGGATGATCTGTCCCCGGCTCTGCCAAAACGCTGGATTTGTGACCTCGATAAATAAGCTTCTAAGTTTTGAGAGTGGTTTGTTATGCAAAACAGACAGCCAGAGCAAGCTTTAAAAAAAGAATACTGATGTTCTCCCCCGGCCCTTGCCACCTACGCGCCACCAGTCTGATTTAATTGGCCTGGGCTGGGATTCAGGCATTGGTGTTTTTAGAAACTGTTGCAGGTAATTCTAATGTGCATCTAGAGTTGAGAAGCACTGAATCACAGGAAACATTTTGCCACCCTGAATAAAGAATTTGGGATTGATAGCATTTTTATACATTTTTTTCAAAACTTTCTTACTTTAGCTGCTGAATGTTGGGGTGGCATACAGGCTCTCCTGATTCTGCCAACACTCTGAGCAACAAGTATTGAATAGGTCACACTAGTCTCTCTCTGTTTTCCTAAGCCACCCCTTAGAAATTTTAGGGTCCACGTTGTTACATATTTTTAATGATTTGTTTGTATTGGGTTTTGTTTTTAGAAGAGTGACAGTTGTGGCTTCAATCAGTCATCTCAAATAACAAATGAGAGGGAACTTGCAAATCCCTTCTATATTTCTGGTAATGGCAGAAGTGTTATCCTGGTCTTATCAAATATTTTCTAAGTGAGACCTACTGCCTCCAAAAGAATTGGCCAGGATGGGGACATTCCATTGCCTGTTGGTCAGGATGGATGCAAGGCCCTAATCGTCAGATGTGTCCACTTGCTGCGTCACCAGCTGAGTCTGAACTCAACTGGGGTTATTGAGAGACCTGTGGGCGAGGCCCAGAGGCAAGAACAGAAATGAGGCCTCCCATCTCACCCACCTGATGGCTGTCATCCTCCCCATTTCTACTTCTCCTTGCCTCCACCCATGACCAGCCTCAGACCTCAGACCAGCCTCACCAGTACACCTCCGTTGTTCCTTACCCTGGGTGCCTCCTCCCTGCCCTGCCCTGCTGTCTGCCTCCCGGCTCTGGCTCGTGCTCCCTGCCCTGCCCTGCTGTCTGCCTCCCAGCTCTCGCCCGCACTCTCTGCCCTGCCCTGCTGTCTGCCTCCTGTCTCTGGCTCGTGCTCCCTGCCCTGCCCTGCTGTATGCCTCCTCCCAGCTCTGGCCCGCACTCTCTGCCCTGCCCTGCTGTCTGCCTCCCGGCTCTGGCTCGTGCTCCCTGCCCTGCCCTGCTGTCTGCCTCCTGGCTCTGGCTCACACTCCCTGCCCTGCCCTGCTGTCTGCCTCCTGGCTCTGGCTCGTGCTCCCTGCCCTGCCCTGCTGTCTGCCTCCCAGCTCTGGCTCCTGCTCCCTGCCCTGCCCTGCTGTATGCCTCCTCCGAGCTCTGGCCCACATTCTCTGCCCTGCCCTGCTGTCTGCCTCCTGTCTCTGGCTCGTGCTCCCTGCCCTGCCCTGCTGTCTGCCTCCTGGCTCTGGCTCACACTCCCTGCCCTGCCCTGCTGTCTGCCTCCCGGCTCTGGCTCGTGCTCCCTGCCCTGCCCTGCTGTCTGCCTCCTGGCTCTGGCTCACACTCCCTGCCCTGCCCTGCTGTCTGCCTCCTCCCAGCTCTGGCCTGCACTCTCTGCCCTGCCCTGCTGTCTGCCTCCCGGCTCTGGCTCGTGCTCCCTGCCCTGCCCTGCTGTCTGCCTCCTGG